CTTTGTTTTACAGATAAAGAAACTGAGGCCTGTAGAGTTTATAGAACTTGCCTAGAGGCACATAGCTAGGGCCAAAATTAAATTTTACGAAAATTAATTATACTACCTACACCAGGTTGTCCAGTATTCCCAGTTTTACCCTGAACTTGCCAAAGCTTATTTCCACCCCAGTGCCTTTCTGCGTTGTGACTGCTCACAAATCATAGCCTGTCAGAACTCTGGTAGGGGGTGGGACCTCTGATCCTATCCATTACTTTGTTCAGTGTTCTCTACCACAGGCTTCTTTGCTCTTGATTGCCTCAACATATTCAGGAGCAACAGGCATGGGAAGTTTGAGAAGGAAAGAAGTTGGGGGACAAGGAAGGAGATTCCTTTTTTAAAATCCATAGGCATAAAGATAGTGACATGGAGTAGGTGGCATTTGAGTTCGACTTTTAAGTATTTTTAGAAGTTCTAAAGGAGGGGAATGGGATCTATGTTTTACATTTAAGAATGTATACATTTATATACATGTCAAGAACACTGGTAATGTGTGGCTCAGGGCTATATTTTTTTGGATGTCTGATATTTGTAAAGGTAGCATTAATGTATTTTTTATCTCTTTTCTGTGTTAACTTTTGTTTATTTTAGTATATTAAGTCATAGGAGGTTGAGGAGCAAATCTGTCAACTTTGTATAACTCTAGCTAACCAAGTAAATGTGTTTTAATTTTTAACAGACTCTTTTTGAAAAGCATTGAGCCTTCCCAGCCAAATCCTTGATGTATTTTGATAGGTTTGGGACCAATTGTCAGTCCTGGGCATTTCTTGGCAGTGGATATTCTCTTGGAAACATGGATGCTTGTAGAAAGCTTATCATTAAACAGCGTGACCAGCTGTCATTGAGCCCTAGCTCAGACCTGACAAGGCTATTGTAGGGGAAAATGGAATGGATTCCGAGGGCTGGTGCCCCATTGATACTAAGAATCATTCCAGACCAGTTGCCTCCTGTTCACAGACCTCTCAAAACCCCCCAATTTTTTTTTTAATCATCTGTTTTCATCTACTGTGGTATGGTGAACTAGGTGCCAGAAAACCTGGGTTCTAGCTCTGGCTCTACCAATTATACTTTGATCACAGAATCTTACCCATGGAAGAGATCTCAGGCCGTCTAGTCTACAATGGCCAAATAAGACTCTTCTCCACAACGGATCAAACAAGAGGCCAGTCCAGGGTTTGCTTGAATACCTCTAGTGAAGAGGTACTTCCCCCCCCCCCATTCTGCTCTTGGATAACTCTTAAGCGTTGAGGTATTTTATCTTAACTTTGCCTTTACGATTTCTATCTATTTACTACTCCCCATTCTCCTCTCTGGGGCCAAACAGAACAAATCTAATCCCTCTGTCTTCCCCTTGACATTCCATCCAACACTTGATGGCGTGTCAAAGTATTTTGAACCTTAGTTTCCTTCTGGCAAACAAGAATGGTTAACCCTCATCTGCTTTTTTTATTTGTAGGCCTCAAATGGGAAAATATTTGTAGAAGCTCTTTAAAAACAGTTAAGCATTATGCAAATATAGGGTGTAATTATTATTAATCCAGTATTTCCTCCAGAGTCTTTGGCTCCCTCTGGGAGCAGATGGTACTAGACTTGTTCCTGCTGCAGGAAAAGGTGGGGGCAGATTTGTAATTGCCACTAAAACAGTTGCTCACTAAAATGACCGTGTAGGCAATTTCCAGGGTGTTTCCATAGTAGACATGCTGCCAGAAGGGAAGTCTGAGGCCTGGTGATGTCCTAGGCTGCTCCAGGCAACATTGCTGAACTCCATTGTGGGGGGAGGGCCTTCAGGATTGCTTGGGTTTTTTTTGAGTAACTGGTGATAACAACACTGTAACATGAGACCATGTCAATAGGTCGGTCTTCTTGGTGCCAGCCTATTCAAAGGTAGTGGCATATAGGCAGCAGGTCAGACACTTACTTACCTTGTGTCCTTAAGCAAGTTGCTTGTCTTTGGGCATCATTTGCATTGTTTGCAAAATGGAGATCATAATCTCTAGCCCGATTTCCTCACCTAGTTGCCCAGAGTCTCAAACAAATAATAAATGCAAAACCATCTATGAATTAAATGGATTTGCTTTCTCTTGCTAAATTATGCCCATTTTAGTTCTGATTAATGCTGGGAGTGGATGATGACACTGTGTCCTCAGCGGTCAGGGAGTTTAATTTACACCTGGTGTTCTGAGTTCAGGGCTGTCTGGTAGCGATGCCACTTTCTTTCTACTAGGAAGTATTTACATAATTTCTTTTAAAACTTCTGAAAACATCATTTGCTTCTCTGTACCAAGAGTGTGGGTCTTGGGGCGTGGACAACTTGTGATTATGCTGTGTGGAATGTCCTACTTCATGACTAGTCTCTGGGGTATTTAACCTTTCTGACTATATCTAATCTCACTGCTTTCTCTTCATGCTGCCCTAGGAGTATAACTTAAAAGTAAGTATTTACCTTACCTGTTGTCTCCTAGATGTTGGCTCATGGTATCTATGCTTGATGGAGTCCCTTTTTTAAACTTATGTTTTTTGTGCCATAGTAAACTAAGAAACCAGAGTGAACCCCAACTCAGATTTTTAAAAATTTCCCTTCTTCTTTCCCATCCCCAAATTAAGATTAAAAAAAAACGGTAACAGACTGTTTAGTAGGAGTTTCTCATCATTTTAAACTAGTGGACTTTCCCTGGATGCTTGGAAGGAGTACTTTCTAGAAGGTGGCACAGTTTAATAGGAAGGAGACCAGGATTTTAGTCATTATTCTGCCACTAACTGACTGTGGAACCTTGGACAAAGCACTTTTCTCCTGGTGCTTCTGCTTCTTTGTGAAAATGAGGGGGTTCCTAGTTATAATATTCTGTGATTCCATGAGTAAGGGGCCTGATTCCTGGTGAGTTCATAGTGAAGGCAGCCTCTTTGGGGGAGCAGCATTAAGGTCCCAACGGGTATGTAGAAGTGGAACTTGGTCATTAATCACAGTTCATTCGGCCTTTTTTGTATGTGGCTATTACCTCATTCCAGTAGTCATTCTCTCAATAAAATAAGGTTCAGGAGAAGGTGTATATCATGGATAACAACTGTAGATGGAATGTAGACCAGATTTGACTCATTAAAGTAATACCTTTGGACAAATAGAAGATAACTTTGAACTTCTATGTTCAAGCTCTTTCTGCTAATCTGGCATAGAATGCTTTATACCCTTAAAAAAAAAAAGCACAGCATCTTAGAATCTGGATTGTCTATCCTAAGTTGGGTTTTCTCCACTTAAAAAGCAAGAACATTGCTTTTAAGTGGGACCAACTTTCGTACAGCATTCTGTTTATTGGCAAGGAGAAAAATCAAACAGTTGAATTGAAAAGCTCTGGATGTGAAACTGCAAATAACATTTTTGGTAGGCAGGGATGGAAAAAGAGCCATGCTTCACCCTCTCATGACAAGCATTGTCCTCAACCCTAAACCCCTCATTCTGGGGCTTGGGGAATCCCTCTCACACCTTTTCCCCTTCCCTTCCTGACTTTGAGGTTTATATCTTCTGGTCTAATCTGAAACTGCTCACCTTTTCTGCCTCAGGCTATGATGAGAGGTGAAAACAATTAATAATCCATCTCTTTTGGCTGCTTCAGTGCAGGATCAAAACCAAAAAATTTACCTCTTTCACTGATCTACCTACATAATATAATACAGCCCTCGAGATAAGATATTTGGGCCTGACCCTCTGTTTCTGTATTCTATGGGTCTTACCCAGACTAACTTGCTGTACCATCTGGTAACACACCTAAAGACCAGTAGAGATAGGTACACTGTAGTCCTCAGCCAGAAATCCAATCACCTCCCCATCTTAGCATCATATATCCTTAGTCCTCCTTGGGTGCCTCCTCCTGGGGGGTACATCTTGAAAACATGTTGTTACTGTAATTACAAATGAGAATCCATGGGTATATCAGAGTACCAACATTTTCCTCCTGTGGTTTAACAAACCATCAGAGATCTAACAGCCCTTTTAGCATAGAGCAGGAAATCTCCTCAGGTGTCTGGTTCAGTTTCCAGTTTCTGATAGAAGCTTAATGCAATTTAATGCATTTAATTATTTTTCATCAAATTCTAAAAGAAAAAGAAGTCAGTTTTGGAATAGACCCTGCCCAGCCCCAGCCCTTACCAGGGTTACAAACAGCTGTGTTCTCAAGCCTCTGGTCAGAGACTGTAGCTCTAGGCTTACAGTGTTCTTTGATTCCCTGTGAAGGTGACCTTGAGTTCTTAAAGCCTTTGCCAGGAGAAAACGATTTGGCTGGCCCTGTCAAGGTGGGCAGGTCTTCAGAATAAGGCCCTCTTTTCATGATGGTCGTTGCTGTTATTATTACCAGTCTGGAGAGGCTTATAACCAGAAAGTTGGCCACTACTAGTGCTGAATTTTTTAACCACCAGAAGCTGAAACTGTCTACAAGCATCCAAAGAAGCTGTGGTGTTGCATCATTGGTTTAAGGACACATACTGACAATCATCAGTTCTTGAAGTAATAAGCTGTATGTGTGTATGTGAATATATCTTTTTGTATTCCTTCATTGTGGTGACTGTTACATTTCAAACCTATATCTTCCCCATATCAGTCCTTAAGATGCTGCACTGTTTTGCGTGATCTCATGGGTGCATGTCCCTTGCCCTGATCCCATAGGATCTAGGGGCTTTTACAAAACATCCTCATCCCCCAACTGTTCCAAAGCCAACAATGAAGCAGAGTTAGAAAAAGTGAAATATAGAATACAAGTGCAGAGAAATCCTAAGACCTTAAGGTCTCCTTAGAAAAGAGTACAAATTAACAGTGAAAGGTATTACAGATGATGCTGCTATATGGGCCCCAAATAGACAAGTTTCTGGAAGTCTGCCTTGGCCAGCCACAGTGAGCTGGACCTTTGGCTTTATGACTGTGAGAGGGTGATGTCACTGCCTTGGTAGGATCACAATGCTCGAGGCTTGTTGTAGGGTCGGGGGGCTTCTAAGGTCAGCATACCCTCTGCCACTTGCTGCTGCCTCCTCCGCCCTTGTCATCCTTACATTGGTGAGTGTCAGGATCTCCAGAGATCAGTGAGAGATGGGGGGCTTTGAGCCTGCTTAGAATTAATCATTTCTTTTGGGGGAATTTTGTTTTGTTCTTAGTTCTTGGTTGACTTTTAAGTTCATCCTTGCTAGTGTTAAGAAGCTATTCTTTCTCAGTGAGCACTTGTTACTTTCCTGTCTTTTCCCTCTGTCTGTCTCTTTTTCTCCATCTCTCCTTCCCTCTCATTCTTTCATTCTCTCTGTCACTCCTTTCATTTTTTTTCTTGCTGTTTCTGAGTAAGACCCTTCCACGCACATATTTAAGACCAAGTGTTTTAAAACATAGAAGTGGGCTACCCTTCCTAAAAATTGTGATCTGAACTTTAGGAGGTCTTCTGGATTTGGATAACAAAAGAGCTCAAAGGCTGTCCCCCCCTCCAGAGCAAATGGAAGCACTGACGACATTGCCCTTTATTGGGAACAAATGGGAAAAGGAAAAGATAGCTACATTCTAAATAGCAGTGGGTGTTTAGGGTTAAACTTGTAACAGCCTAGCAACCTAGATGGCTTTCTGCAAGCTACCTGTGTCTTCTCTTTGAAGAGTTGTTCATCTTTGGTTGGTAGGACTTGAAGTTTTAGGAAAAGCAGTATATTATTATGCTGGCTCTTCAGTGGAGCCCCAGAGTGTCAACAGGCAATCATAGCATCAAGAGACTTATGTGAAACAACAGCCCTTAACAAGGGCTCTCATGTGCCAGGCATTTCTCCAAACAGAAGGCCCAGGAAATGGGCACAGAGACCTAAAAGAAAGCAGGTGTAGCAGGTTATGGCTGAATTCAGGAATGGCTTCTGCCTGTTCTGTAAAGTTACCCAAAGTATAAGTTATTTTTAAATTGACCTTAAGCTTCTCAAAGTATTAAAAAGCCACACCTAGCAGAGAAAGCTTGAAAACATAAACCCCGAGAATCAATTCAAATTGATTTCCCAAAGTATTTTACTGATATGTTCTCTCAAAGCAAGTCAGTTCCTTATTCCATCTTGACCTTTTATAGTTGCAGGAACTTGGTGATTTAATATATTTCTATCCAACCTTTTACCAAAGTGCCTCCCTTTCCCCTCACAGTGTCTCTGAGAGGGGGCAGCTAGGTGGTGCAGTGGATAGAGCACTGGCTGTGAAGTCAGGAGGACCTGAGTTCAAATCTAGCCTCAGACCAAACACTTGACACTTACTAGCTGTGTGACCCTGGGCAAGTCACTTAACCCCAGTTGCCTAAAAGCAAAAAAAACCCCCCAAAAAACCATGTCTCTGAGGGCCAAATAATTGGGTAAAGCCTATAACCTGAAATCAGCCACAGCAATAGAGATTTCAGCAACTTGTAAGGTCAGCATTCTGGGAAATCGTGTATTTATGTGAGTAATTGCATGTACCAGCAGCATCTTTTGTGGTAGCAGCTTGTTGAAATAGAACCATGGAATGTCAGAGCCAAAAGCAAGTGACCTTAAAAAGAACCTAGTCCAGAATGCTTATTTGTTAGAAGAACCTGATGCCCAGAGAGGGAAACTAAGTCAAAGTTGTCAGAGGGAGTCAGTGGTTAAAAGTCAGGACTGTGGCCTGGGGCCCTCAGATCCCAGCTTGACCCTCATTCCACTGCCACTAGTGTGGATGCCCCTATAAGCCTGATGATCGTTATTCTTTATTGAGAACTCGGTCTGACTAGACAGAAAGCAGCTAACCCAGTGTGGACTGGCTCAGCAGTAGAGCTTGAGCTTCCTTTAGTCCAGTTAAGCTCCCTCTGCTGAGATTGCAGTTACAAAGCATCATGTTTCTTAAGGTGGTGCTAATTCTCAAGCAGAGTTTTGAGCCTGTACCTAAAGATCAGGCTCTCTGCATATGTATATACATACACATCTATGTGCAGAAACCCAGCCAGACAGTGACCTTGAATTTGGTGCCTACCCTCACCATTCTAAGCTTCCCTGCTGTTATAGATGTAATAAGAGTCATCCTTTCCTATTAGTGAGTTGTTACCAAAGCCCCTGGGCTTCATTTCTTTAAAAGAAAATTGTTTCTCAAGGAGTTCACTAATTCATACCTCCCTACTCTACCCTTGTTACTCCAAATTAGTCAGGTCTCAGTGTGCTGGATAATTAATATGTGAGATCTGTAAGTATGCTACCAGCTGCCACTCAGAATCATTTAGGAAGCTGGCCCCTTGACAGAAATGCCTTGCCCGTTAAGCAAGGACTTCTTTTTGTGTTTTGTTTGTTTTTTAATTTACTCTTACCAGAGCCTTGTAACGAGGTCGTAATAACTTGTCAAAAGAAATGTCTTAACGTGTATCCTTGGTTTGTTCAGCTATGTTGCAACTACCTTCTTGTGCTTACCTTTTAATGCTGCCTCTTTGGGAAGATGAGGACAAGGAAGCCCTCCTGCCCGCTGGAGACGGTCTGGGAGGATAAGCATAAATATGATGAAGCAGAGCGGCTATTCTACGAACGGGAAGCCACACAGGCCGCCGCAGCCCAGGCCCAGCAGCAACCAGAGGAGGTGGTGAATGGCCTCAGCCAGGATGATTCAGGGGACAGCAGCGGGCGGGACACCAAGAAAGCCAACAACGGGAAGAAGCAGAAGAAGAGGAAGCGGTCACCCAAGAACCACTCATCCCAGACCAACCTGGCCCTGGTGGGCCTGTCAGCCGACCCAGTTTGGTTTGAAAAGCCACTTTTTGACCAGGCAGAGACATCCTACCGCAAGAAGCTTGCAGATGCAGTAGCTCCACGTGGCCTAGTCCCCATGGAGGCAGCCTCAGCCACCCAGGTGCACTCAGCACTCTGGCCAGAGAAGGCAGCTCCTCGGGCAGTGGCATTCAAGCCAGGGAAGGCCCTGACGGCACCCTGCACCCATGGGAGCCATGTGGCCTGCCACCATATGGCTTGTGGCATCTGGGTTAACAAGTTCTATTTTGACCGAGCTGAGATGGCATTTGTGGAGTGGACGCAGGCGTCCACCCCACCACATTCCCTGGACATCTCATCCCCACAGCTTCCACAGGACACAAGTGTGGCAAGTGGGAGGGGCACCCCAGATGAAGGATATATGACAGCTGTAACTACTCCTGCCACCCCAGGGCCACCCATTAGAGGCTCATCCTTCACTGCCTGCTGGCCCAGCCCACCAGCCAATGGTAAACCCCAGCTTTTTAGTCTTCAAGCAATGATGCAGGAGGTATGGTTGGAAAAGCCCCAGTATGATGATGCTGAGAGATGTTTCTATGAAGCCATGTTTGATGGCCACCCACCAGGGAAGGTGAGGCTGCAGGAACGAAGCGGGCCACCTGATGGAGCACGGCGGGGAAGAAAAGATAGACGAAACAGAAATAACATAAGCAAACGTATTGGTCCAAAGCGGGCAGACCCCATGCCCTCCAAAGAAGTGGACCCTGCCTTGCCCTACTGGTACTTCTTGCACAAGGATGGTGAACCCCCATGGCTCAGCAAATCAACTTATGACAATGCCGAATCCCGTCACCATGCAACTGAGGCCCTCCGAATGTCATGGCGAGCAGAAGCACCTCCAGTCTCGCCAGTCCCTGCCCATCGGCCTGCTCCCCGTGCTGTCCCCTCAGCATCTACACCAAGACCAAAGTAGGAAAAGCTTACTGTATGGTAACCGTTTCTCCCCTTCCTCTCTCACATGTCCCCAGGTCCTACTTGTATTTGGATGAAATTTAGTCACAGAATAGGGGATAGGGAACAGTCATCAGCTCCTGGTTTGACTTGTTCTCTCTTCATCCTTCTCAAGGAATCTCATTTCTAAGAAACTTTAACCCAAGTTGGTTGAAAGAGGGAGAGCAGTAGTGGGGAGAATGAGGAATTACTAAGACATATTGTGAGCCCTGTGTGTTTCATTGGCTCTGTAGTTTGTTTCAGAGTTTTGGGGTTCCCCCCAAAAAAAGTTGCTATGATTTATGCCTCAGAATATATTAACAAGTGAAAACAATCAGTGGGTTTAAATCAAGTTGAAGTGGGATGTCCTGGGAGGTTGGAAGTCCTTTCCCTTAGTAGTATTTTCTATAGACATTGTTGGGGAAGCTCAGGATTACATGGTCCTTGTCCACCTTAAATTCTAGCTGACACAGAAGGGCTCTGGCAGGGCAGCAGTCCCAGGTAAGTTAACCAGGTGCATGCCCCCTACTGCAGGCTCCTGTGGGGAGGCCAGACCTCATCTTGGAGGGGAAAAGTGAGGTCAGAAACCAAATATGCCTTAGTACCTCTTAAGGTCCTGCTGGGGGAAAACACAGAACTTCCTAATTTTCGATGGAAAAGTTCTAAAATCCTTTTTCCCTAGTCAGACACATGTGTAATCTTCTTTTCTTTACCCACAGATATAGTAATGTTTTCTATATGCCTGTTCCTTCTGAGCTGAGCAACCGCATGAATTTCCTCTCTGTTCTTTTGAGTGTTGGTGACAGTGTTTGTTGAGCAGTGTTTTCCAACCCAAATTTGATTGCAGACCAGTAAAACAGCCAGATTCTGTCCTGTTGGGCTGGCAGCTTTCTAACCTCAGTATCTCAGGGGAGGAGACCTTTTGGTCCCTCTCAAGGAAGAAAAAGGGCAGCTGGAGTGTGGGAGGAGTGGATTTTTGGGAGAAGTTTTGTTTTGAATAAAACACACTGGGGGAGCAGTAACAATGTTCCAGGGCCCAGAGCTGCCCATCATCACCCAATGCAGACTAGTTCCCTTAAGCTTGAAGAAAAAGCTACGTAAGATTTCCCTCTGCTTTGAATAATGACCAGAATCTAAAATCTTGATTACCCAGGGTGAGGTTGGTGATATCTGTTTCTGAGAGCACTGAGGAGCGGGGGTAAGGACGTCAGTCATCAGGCTTTCCTAAGAGACTTCTGTATTCTCAATTCCATTTACATAGTTGTGGTCTTAAGAGAAGTCTTCCCTTGGGGAGCTGTTGAGTCTTCTGAGGAAGTAATCATTAATTGTTTAACTCTTAAATTGTGCTATAGGTATTGTGCACAGTAATAAGGGTTGAAATAGTCAGTCACAAAAGGTTTTGGAGGAGGTAAGATGCTGGTTTGGACCCAGTAAGTGTTAAAGTTTGTGGCTTGAGTTGGGCTTTGCATCTGTAAATGGAATGGGAATGAATCTAGGAGACGGATAGTTATGCAGGGGACAGACAAGAAAATGGGAGGGATAGTCTAGTTAGTTCTAGGATGGTAAGGCCAGTCTTCTGGAGCCTGGCAGGTTCTTGTTGGGGAATAGTTCAGTAAGTCTGTAAGGAACTTAGGAAACCAGGTAGAAGCAGTTAGACTATACGTGGAAGAAAATAGACAGCCATTGAGGGGTTTTGAGCTAGGAGTACGACATGCCTTTTCTGCCTTGGGGGGGGCCTAAGGGTTGAGTGTAGTAAGTATCATCCTGTCTCACAGGTAGCATTTGTGTTTTGAGTGGGGTTTGAAGTTGATGACCTCTGTGGACCCTTTCAAACTCTGTGATTCTTTGATTCTGTGATGAGACCAATGTTAAACTTAGTAGTAGTGAAGGAATGTATAAAGTCAGGGAGGTAGCTGAGAGTTATTGTGTTAATTGAGGCCCTGAGTCAAGAGGGCCTAGATTAGGGTGGTGGTTATAAGTATGGTGCCATGAAAGGAAAATTCACTGTATTTGATGATAGCACATTGGAGAAGAAAGAAGAATCAAAGATAATACTGTGACATTGTTTTCTATGTAAAACTTAATAGAGTACTTGGGGAAGGGTGTGTGTGTGTGTGTAGGTAGAGAAGGGGCAGGGGGACTCACTGAGGTCAAGAGCAGTGATAGAGCAAGAGGAAGAGAGGTCAGTATGATTGGACACTGAGAAGGGAATGGCAGATGCCACTGGGGCCATTCCATTCACCTAAGGGCATTCCAGTTGTGGTTGGGTGTAGTTTTTCTTTCTAGATTCAGTAGGCTTGGTTGACAAGAATAACTGTCTCTAGAGATTAGATGTATTTGAGTGAGGAAGGGTTCAGCTCTCATCTCTCCTGACTCCCTCCTTATGCTGAAGATGAAACTGAAGCCCAGAGAAGGAAAGAAATCTGCTCAAATTTTCCCATCTGGTTAGTGGCAGGGTTGGGACACTATACCTGCCTGGCAGGTAAGCAGAAAGGCTGTGACAGTATTAGAAGATAAGGTTCCTTCTCTTCTAGGGCTCCTGTTTGTCTTCCTCACTCCCTACCAGAGCAACCAGTGGCATCCGTCAGTGGGAAGGGAAGGAAAACACCTCTTAGCAGGCAAGTTGGCTTGTGGGGAGCACACTTGATTCTGTACTCACCTTGGGATAGGGAATTCAGAGGAAGGGTTTAAAGAATGAGGACAGCCTGTCCAGACTGCCCTAGCCACAGGAAGGGAATATTAAATACCACTGAAGTCATTCTGGTCACTTGTGGGCGTTCTGATGTAGTTAGGCATGGCTTTCCTTCCCAGAGATGGTCAGTTTAAGGGGAGACTTGGAAGATGAAAAAATGAGAGAAAAGCAGGGTTCTTCTTTCCCTTCACAAGTCTGCCGACTCACCCTAACACTGAGGCTTAAGTGTAGTAGAAAACTGGAGAGGTTTTGTAGGCTGCAGGTGCAGTAGGAGTCATCAGGCTGACACAGCAGTCCCCATGCATAATAGCATTTAACTGAAGCACAGTGTCCAGAAGGAGGGAGGGCAGTGGTAATCTGCTGGCTTCTACCCTGGTCAGATCTGGAGTGTTGGGTTCAATTAAAAGGGATGCATTTAAAGAAGGGTGTTGACGGGCTGGAATGCTTCTAGGAAAGGGAAGGGGACTGGACCCCGTGTCATATGATTGAAGAGACCTGGCAATGTTTACCTTGGAAAAGAGAAGGATATCACATTGCAACTTCTGCATAGCATGAGGCAAGAGCAGTGAGGTGTGGAAGTTGTGGAGAGAAAGACTTTGTTGTCCTGCTGCAGCTGCCTGAAAATGGGTGGGGCTACCAGAGAGGGTGGAAAGTATTCTGGCAGAGACTGGGTGGCTTCTTGTCAGAAATCTTATAAAGGGATCCTGTTCCAGTGTGGATTAGACTGGATAATCTCTGAGGTCTTCTCCAGCTCCAAGAGTCTATGAGAAAAGCGTCAGGATGCGAGGCCATTTTGGAGAAGGCCTGCCTTCCAAATAGCCTGTGACAGCACTTTTTTAGTGCTTTGAGCTTTTTCTTAGTGTGGTCCATATCTCAGCAGAGGTAGAGTATAATGGAGAGGGGGATAGGAGCTACAGTTTGCTAGGTCCAGAGTTTGGGTGGAAATGGAGGAGCTTTTTATGATCTGAGCAACTCACTGGTTGTTCATATCAGGAGATTCATGTAAACTGGTGTCTCTAGGTGTGACATTCTTCCCATTTTTTTCCTCTACAGGAAGATGGCAACCAGCTTTCTGGTGCATGAGAAGATCTGGTTTGACAAATTCAAGTACGATGATGCAGAGAGAAAGTTCTATGAGCAGATGAATGGTCCTATGCCCGTCCCCTCCCGACAGGTACTAATAGCTCAGGGCCAGAAGCTGGGATGGGGGATGTGTAAAAAGGAGAGGGAGGCTAAAGCATTGGGAGCAGAGCCTTCTGTGCCCTTTGGTACTGTAGACCAATCCCCCATCTTCTGCTTTGTGGGAGGAGAGGGCAGGAGGTCCGTCCTTAGGGTGCTCCTTGATCCTCATCCTGGCAGATGGTTTTGGCATTGTTGGGGGTGGGAGATTTGCAACAGGAGGATTTCAGAAGTGGACCCTGCTGCTTAATGCTCTGTGACTTCAGGTAAGTTATTTTCCCTCTCAAGGCTACAGTTTTATCATCTGTGAAATGATTTGGACTAGGTGATCTTAAAGCGGTAAGTCAGGTTTCTGAGGACTGAGTAGCAGGCTTGAGCTTTGGGGGTATCCCTGGGCCAGCTGCAGAGAAGTGTTGGTGCCAGACGCAGGACGCATCAAGTTGTATGTGTGGCTGCTCTGCTGGGGGGACAGGTTGGACTCTGGAGTGACTGTGCTGGCCCCAACAGTGCTGCTCACATCCAGCACCTAACAAGTACACAGTAGGAACTTAATGAATGCTCAGTGGAATCTATGGCATTCTGTTCTTAGCCAAAGCAAATCTCGCTTGTGAGCGTGGGACTCTGGGGAGCACAGATAGAGAAGGACTAACTGCAGCCACGAATGTACTGGAGTCTTCCCTTTAGACAAGTCTGCTGTGGAAGTGGCTCCTGAATGGGAGGGGCCCTGGCCCTTGCTTTGCTTCAGCATCCTACTGCATCCTGCCATCTCCCTGGCCCTCTTAGGTGGTTGTGGACTATCGTGAACTTTACCTGGCCTGGGAGTTATTTGGGCAAATCCCCACACTTTGCCTGGTGTGGATCTCACAAGTCAAGCCTCGATGCTTGTTCTCACTGCTTTGGGAAGAGAAAGAGGTGTAGGCTGGTGCTGGCTGGGTTAATGAGACACGTGGCTGGTTGGCACTCATAGAAGAGGGTTTGGAAGTGGATTATGGGACATCAAGAAGGCCCAGGTCCGTGGTCCATTGCCTAGCACCATTGAATAGATCCCACCAGTGAGGAGCTGAGTTGTGGCCTGCAGCCATGCAAGCCAGAGAGGCCCTGCTTGACTTCTCTACGTGCTAGCAGTCATTATTTTAATATTGGAGAAATCACTGAGCCTCCCCCCGACTAGCTTGGGAATTTCTCTTTCCGGGGTGTTCAAGGGTGGGAGGAATGTGGCGATAGGCATACCAGGAAAAACAGGATGAAAAATCACTGTCCAGCAGCTGCTGTCACCTGGTCCTCCAGGCATCAGGGCCAGTATGTTGTCTAGCATTGAATGCTTGCAAAGGGCCTTGAAACTAACCAGAAAAAGAAAACTCACATGGCTCCTGCTCCTTTCCACCAATCAGTTTCTATCTATAACACTTTCATGCCCTGTTTTAGATCTATACTTTTTTTCCCCAAATAAAAACACATGTTGGTTCTTTCTGCACTGTTTGCAGGAGAACGGCGCCAGTGTGATCCTCCGTGACATTGCCAGAGCCAGGGAGAATATCCAGAAATCGCTGGCCGGAGTGAGTACCCTATGCTCGCACCAGCTGGCTGCCTATGGCGTCCTCTTGTGCGCCCGTGCCCACCTGGCTGGCCTCTGCCACCATCTGTTGGATCTTGATTTTAAACATTTTTATCATTATTACCTTTTTTTTTGAAGTAAAGGGAAGGACAAGGTGCAGTATTTTCTATTCTCTGTTAGAGAGGAGGCTTATTTATGTCTGGGGAGCCCCCCCTCGCCAGGCAGCAAACTGGATTTGAAACACTAAATTTTCACATGCACACACAGATCCCTTCATGCCCCACCCTTCCCCCTGACTCTTTGAAATATTTTTCTCCTCACATTCTTTGAGTCTTATCCTAACCAGTTGTGTGGCTTTGTTTCCCTGATGACTTAGGCCTTAGGCTGAGTGTGCTTGGGGCTCTTACTGCTGCTTCCCTGCAGGGCTGGGCTCCCCTTCTCTTTCCCACCTCTACCCTTCCCCAAGGGCACTGCAGAATGCTGCTACCTTTTCTCTCCTGCCTCCTCCCTGCATAGAAAGGATGTGTGAAAAAAAAAAAAGATGGCATCTTTTCTTGACTGAAAATTGCTGCTTGTCTCTCTGTGGTTTTGTCTTCTCCCTCCTGTGCCTTCTGCTTCCAGAAAGAGGAGGAAATTGGTCATGGGATCAAACTGGTTAGAGACTGGCCTGCTGGTGATAATTGGTTCTGTTTTTAATTTGAGGCCTAGAAAAGGACGCTTATTTTCCTTTGCTATCCTGATGTGTGGGTCAATTTGCTGCTTTCATTTGCAGTGTACTTGACATCCCTCAGCTATTTATCAGTTATTTCTAAAGAGAGTTTTGGATGTAGTCCAGTTGGAAAGGCATAGAGTTTCAAGGAAGAGAATGGTACACAGGGTATCTCAGCTTGTTTTCCTGTTGTTTAGGCTGGTTAGAGTACTGAATGTGCAATAGTTTTTATAGGAGGATTTGCACATAGGTCTATTTTCCATGTATCTGTATCAAATTGCTTAGGTTACTGCTCCCTGAACAACTAGAAGAAGCCCTAGCTGGCTGACTAAAGCTGCTGTCAGTATCCTGGATTTTCTTTATCTGACGGAGGTTTTTGCCCCCAGGTTAATATTTTCCAGATGCTGTATTAGCTGTTGTAAAAAGTAAAGCTATCCAGCAGAGAAAACACTAAAAGTTTTTTCATTGGGGAGACTTTGAGAAACAAGTATTTTGAAATTCTCTCTTTTCTGCTAGGGTGGCCTCCGGGTAGTCCTGGAGGCATGGGACCACTCTTGGCCTCTCCCAGAGCTAGGAGCTCCTCTGACCATCTGAAGCTTATGCTTGACCTGTTCTATATTTTTCCTCACCATCTCCCAACCAACAGGAGTGGGCCAATGGAAAGAGCACTGAATTTGAGGGACATGGGTTCAAATCCCAACTCTAGTTATTATTTCCAAAGTGGTATACCTTGGGCAGCTGATTTGGTTCCCTTGTCTGTAATCTGGGGGTTTGGGGTGGAATGTAGATGATCATTTCCTCCAAAGTCTGCCCTAGCTCAGTCTTGTGGTCCTTAGGTATTAAGGGGATAGGCTTTCTGAAGGAAGTGATGTGAGTTGAGCCCAGAAAGATAGAGTAGTTGGATAGATGGAACAAGGCTAGATGGGCCTTCCAGAACAGGAAAAGAATAAATAAAAGCCCATAAGTGGGAATGAGGCTGCAGGTGCTGGGAACTGGTCTGACTGGTTCAAAGAGAAGAAATAAACCCATTGGGATGGAGGATGGGTAATTTACCAATGGTGGTAAGGCATCCCCTTGTGGTGGTGCAAGGCTCTGTCCTTTCAAATCTTTGCCCTCCCTTTTCTCTCTGCTTAGTGACCAACAGTGAAAGATGTCTGATAAGTCTGATTGTCCAGAGGCTTCATAAGGTCCTTACCAATGTCCTGGATCTTCTGTGTCCTTATTTTAATTAATTCTTCATTGTCTGCTGCTTAATTTCTTTGAGGGAGGCCTAAATATGATAATCTTGGGGCACGTGGTTGGAGGGAGGCTGTCTTTTCTTCAGATACCTTCATGTGTAGTGTGTGTGTGTGTGTGTGTGTGTGTGTGTGTGTGTTTAAATGTGGAATAGAGAGTTCAAATGTAGTCTCATAAGAGCCAAAAAGGACCCTTGGAGGTCAGTCTAGTCCAGTAGAGTCAAACTCAAGTAGAAAGAATCCCTGCAGGCTGCATATTGACTTAAAAACCCCCACAAATGAACATTTATGTTGTATTTTTATTCATTTTGTTAAACATATCCCAATTACATTTTAATCTGATTCTGATTTTACTCAGGACTTTGACCCCACTGATCTAGAGCGACACCCACCATCACAGATGTAGAAACAAGCTTTCTGGCTCAAGAGTGATCCTTCATTCTAGTACCCCTCAAAGGTGTTTGGTTTTTAATGAGGTCTCTTTCTAATCAGACATGAACTGTGAAGGGAGCAAAAGAAGTCTAGACCTTTGCTCTACTTCTGCTAAGAAATTATCCCCTTGGAATCTTGGGTTTTCCTCTCCGACTATCCCCATTTCATCCTGGTGTTGCTCCCAATCTTTGCCCTTCCCCTTATAGGGTCTGGCCAGGGAGCTAGCTGACTTCAGGGGTCCCTTCTAGGGCTAAGTCTCTGATTCTGTGATCCTTTGGTCCTATTATGTGCCAGCCACTAGAGGTAGAAAGACAGACCAAACATTTCGTACCTGCAAGAAGTTATAAAATATAGAGAGAGGGATTTCCAGGGGGGCCCTAGGGCACTAGCAGCTGTTGGAAATTAGATCAGGCTTCTTGTAGGAGGCAGCATTTGAGCTGAGAGTTGAAGGAAGCTCTCTGAGACAGAGGTGAAGAAGTCGGGCATCCCAGCAAGAGGGACAGTCTGGGCACAGAGATAGGAGATGGGATGCCATGGACAGGGAATAGCTGGTAGGCTCAGTTTGGCTGGAAAGTAGAATGTGTGAAGGAGAGTAACGTGTAACAAACCTGAAAAGGATAGCAGGATTAAGTGAAGGTTATTGGAGCATCAGGGAGGTCTGGGAATTTGTAAGCAGAAAGGAAGGATAGAAAAGGGGGCTGGGAGGTGTGTGTGAGAATTAGAGAGTGACAGAGCATGATCCAGAGGTATGAACTCCCAGTGATCAGGCTACAAGTAGAGTTGTCATTGGTGAGAGCCTGGAGCAAGGGAAGAAGTCTGTGGGGGGGAGTGTGGGGGTGATTTGTATTTTAGAATTGAGGAGGAAAGATTTCACCATGGGCAGCATCTTTGGCTGAGAGAGCAGAGGAAAGTGCAGATAGTGTGAGAAGAGACAGTGAACAAGGAGATCAAGAGGAGAGCAGGGGAGAGTTAAAGGGTTGGTTTGCAGCAGTGACAGACCATAGAGATTTGTAACATTATTTTGTAGTGGACCAGGTCAGAACAGTTGTGTTCAGTGGAACAGTTAGGAGTTAAGAGAAAGTGCATCTTGGGCTGGTGGCTAACCCAGTATTGGGGTTTGGAAAGGAGTGCTTGACGCCTGAACAGGGAGCAGAACAACTCAAAAGGCATAGGACGGTGTGAAGTTGAATCAGGATTTTGAAGGAAGAAGAATAAGGTCAGGGCATGGGTGAGAAATGGGAAAAGGAGTGACTGAGGCACTGGAGGGTTTTTTGTTTTGTTTTGTTTTTTTCTTTTTGGTGAGACAATTAAGGTTAAAGGACTTGCCCAGGGTCACACATCTAGTGAATGTTATGTGTCTGAGGTTGGATTTGAACTGAGGTCCTCCTAACTCCAAGGCCAGTGCTCTATCCACTGTGCCACCTAGCTGCCCCTAGTAATGGAAATTTTGAGTGAGGGCAGAGAATAGGTGTAAAAAAGGAATGAGGCCAGAGGACAGCTGAAAGGGGTGGGTAGCAAGGTGTTAGGATCACATAAATTTCAGAATCATGGATTATGGAAGTTATCACTTGTGAGTGATGACAAGATCAAGGGGAAGGGAGGGAAGGGAATAGACAAGAACCTACTTATGTGCCGGGCACTGTGGTAAGCACTTTACAATCTTTATCTCATATAATCCTCACAACAACTCTGCAAAGGTAGGCAAGCAGAATTTAAGAGACTTGCCCAGGATCACACAGTTAGTATATGAGACCTCATTGAAACAGATTTTCCTGACACTGGGCCTACTGCTCTATCTCCTATGCCACCTAGCTACTACCATCTTTATGTCTATGACCATCCCTGTCTATGGCTGAAGCGAATAAAAGTGCAAACTGTGAGAAGTTTGAGGAACTGGGAAACAAAATTTCAGTATGTAAATTGAAGTACCCAAAGTATGAGAACAAGGGTGGAGAGGAAGATGATAAGCCAGGTCCTGAACTTCTTGAGAAAGAAGGGAGATGTAAAAACAAAAAAGAGCATTAAAAATAGAATGGTGGGGGTGGGGGAGGGTATTTTTTTTTTAAGGGGAAGGGAGAATGGGGGGGGGCTGGAATAGAGAATGGGTATCAGAATCTGGACTGGGTAATGTAGCCTCACAGTGGATTATGGAGCATTCCACCCTAATCACTGACTATGTAATTCCTTCCCTCCCCCAACTAAAGGAACAATAAGGCACTGCAAACAGGTGCAAATAGTATTCCCTTAACCTCAAAAAAAAAAAAGATTAATTCAATTCAACACACCCCCAGTCAACCGAAAAATAATTTCCTTCAGCTACCCTGTCCCGGTTTTCTGGTGTCTCCAATTGTTTAGTGTTCTCCCCGGACTCTTCCCCTTCCTGCCCATTTACTGTGGGTGTTCTTCAAGACATTGCCCAACAGAAATTCTACCACGAAGTACTTTCTATGAAAACTTAACCAATATTGTAAAAGAAAAAAAAAGCATTAAGTGCCTACTGTGTGTCTCCATCCATAGCACTAAATCCACTGTGCCATCTACCTGCCTCTAAGTAAAATCAAATTTCTTCTAGTAACGCAGACTTGTAACTTCAGGGTCAGCTCTGTTTCCCTCGTCCTCACTCTAACGTTCAAATAATTGCTAAGCCCATCAGTTTTTCTGTTGGGTATGTCCCTTTTTACCTCCCAGGTGTTCAAGGGATTCATCACCTCCTAAATTATTGCAGTAGCCTCCTCTTTCCAGCCTGTACTGTACAATCTATCAGAAAAAACCTTCCTTTTAAAAATAAAACTCAATAATTTTCCCTCTTACCAGAAGCCTTCAATAGTTCCCCACTGGCTACTGGATTAAATTCTTACTCATGATTCTGTCATTCCAGAGCCCTTTGTGGTATGGTACTTGCTATAGTCATTGAATTGTATCATTTCAGAATTGGAGGAGGCCTTAGAAGTCATCTAGTCTCTCTCACCTGAGCAGAAGCCCCCTCTCCAGCGTTCACTTTTAAGTCATTGTCCTTAACAAGTACCCATCTAGTCTTGCTTAAAGACTTCAAGACCTTTACTCTGAGGCAATCCATTCCATTTTTGGAAAAGCCCTGATTTTCCCTAATTTTTTCTCTTAATTTATGAAAATTTTATTGAACCTGGTTTTTCCCTTTGGAACCTATCAGAATAATTCTGACTGACCTAGAATCTACCTGTCAAGGCTTTGTTTCCTTCTGCTCCCTCTCTGTGCCCCAACCAAATAAGCCAGACTGTCGTTCTTCTCACCTTGCTTCCTCCTCACTGTTGTTCATGGCCTCCGTCTGGGTGGACTATGCTCCCTTGTCTCCACCTCTGAAACAGCCTGGAGAAGGCAGCCTGGTGCAGCTGAAGACATAGAGGACTGTGGACAGGAGATGCAGGTCACGGAGCCTCCCCCAGCCTCGGCTTCTTTATCTGCAAAGCAGCAGTACCTAGAATACCTGCCTTCACGGGATTATTGTGTATAAGTAAAACGAAAATCCTGCCTGTCCTTTTGAGCTTGTTCTTTTGTGTTTGTTTTTTGGTTGTCCTGATAGGTTTTCTATATAAATGTGATATATAACCATATAAGACTATATAATTACATATGTGCGTATGTACACATAGTAATTTCAGGCCTCCGTAGAAAGTAATACATAGGTTACAGTGACCAGAGAACAAACACAAATGTGCTCTCACACGTGCATGCTCTGCATAGCGGCAGAGCATCTGCTGCAGAAATTTAGCCTAGGAGTCAGGATGAGATGGGTGCCTTGCCTCTCGCTGGCTGTGAATAAGTCACTTAACCCTTCAATGTCCAAGGCAGCTCTTTAGCAATCTGTTACAGATGAGTTGCTAATGTGCACCAGTGATATCACACTCAAGTGAAGGCAGATGATAGTACCATGCTACCTTGGAGTTCAGAAGATCCTTTTAATTACATCCTCTGGCTGTAGTTTTCATATTAAAAAAGAGCCCAAGTGTCTTGTCCTACCAGAGCTCTCACCATGGCTCAGCAATATTTGCAGTCTTTGGCCAGACCCAATTACCATCCATTACTAATAATGGCAGTCTGTATTTAGGGGAGACATTTATGTCAGAGATGGTAGCTTATGCAAAGAGCTGGGTTCATACATTGTGAAGGGGATTTTTTTGTTTGTTTTTTTGTTTTTGGCAAGGCAGTTGGGGTTAAGTGACTTGCTCAGAGTCACACAGCTAGTAAGTGTTACGTGTCTGAGGCCAGATTTGAACTCAGGTCTTCCTGACTCCAGGGTCGATGCTCTATCTACTGCCCTACCTAGCTGCCCTTTGTGAAGGTATTTCTGAGGTCAGAAGGGGGTGGGGGGGGGGATGGACAGTTTAAGTGTAATTAGCTATAACTGAGTTTCATTTGGTGTCTATTTATTGATAAATTATTTCCTTTTTATTTTAAAAAAGAGTGCTTAATAAGAGTTTCAGGAGAAAGAGATCATTGTAGGCCAAGAGGTTATGGAGGGACTCATGGAGGAGGAGGGATTTGACCTAAGCCCTAGAAGAATGGGCAGGACCTCTAGAGCGGAGAAAGGCCTTTCTGCTGGCTGGAATGGCCTAAACATGAATGTGGTGTTCAGAGAGAAGCAGATCAGTCTGTTTGCAAAAGAGTTTATGTTATGAGGAAGGGGTGATAAAACTGGCTTATAGCAATGGACCTGTCTTCCCTGAACACAAATCACAGCAATATTTGTTGAATTTGTTCAAAGGTGGGTTGAAGCAAAGGAGTTTGAACTTCACCTTAGAGGCAATGGAAAACCATTGAAGATTTTCAGTAATGTGGTGATAATGTTGTGGACCATTGTCAGGGGGAGACTAGTTAGTAAGATTGCTCCTTGAGGCTTTCCTTGAAGAAGGGAGAGGAGTGATCTCCATGAATGGGAAAAGGGACAGAGTAGACATTAGATATTCTCTGGGGCCCAGTGATTGATTCCCTTGTCAGGCACTGCCCACTCCTCATTCCAAACTTGCTGTATATATATCTTAGAGGAATGGCCAAGGTAGAGCAGGACTCTCATGGCTTCATGTAGCTAGCTACCAAAAAAGAGAAAGTGGTCAGACAGATGTGAAAAGAATAGAATATTTGGGGAGAGGGGAAGTAAGGTTCCATGGGATTCCTTAGGGCTAGTCATTCTACTGGGCACTCCAGCCCCGCCTCTGAATTTTACATGTGTGTGTATTGACCAAATACTTTTGCCCTAGGGAGTCAAGAGCCTGGCATGGCTGCTCTAAGCAGTTGTAGGCCTGTGGTTCCAAGTATGTGTGATTGGCCAGGCTTGTCTGGGTCTCTTTCCTCCACCCTTCCCTTGCCTTTCCTGACCTTCTTCTGTATGAGCCTGTCTCAGCAACCTCTGCTTTGCTTTCTTCCCTGCATCTCTCATCCTTGAGTCTTTTTCCCCCTCCCACTTTCCAGTTCAAGATGGTGCTGCAGAGTCCCCCTGAGGTCCTGAACCAGGCCAAACAGGTCCTGTAAGTCATTTCTGGGGAGGGAAGGGAGAGGGCTGCTCACCCTCAAGGGTAGTAGCTCTGGGAGAACCCAAGCCAAGGCTACTGTAGCCCCAGAACTCCCCTGGATGGTACATAACCTGGTACCCCTAAAAGGGCAGGTACTTTCCTGATCTTGTGCCCCCAAATTGGCCAGAGTTCAGATTCTCTAGTTCCTTGCTTCCTATTTTGTGGCTTCTGCATCTGTCAGCTTGCATTAAAAAGAAAAGAGAGGCCAGGGACCCTAACGTTCTCTGATCTGGGGCTTAGTACAAAGCAATAGGGTCTAAACCAGGGATCCCCTTTTTGGTTGTTGTTTTTTTTTCCTCCTGTTTCTGTCTTGTCACCCAGATGGAGGTTATATTTTCTATTCTGGGCCAAGGATTGACTAGTCACATCATTAAAACTTTGTATGAAGAGGCCATAATTGTGAGATGGTTTCCTGACACCCTTCAGCCAAGTCACACGCCATGTGTTGAGGGGAGAAACCAGAGATCTGAGTGATTGATCACATTGCTACCTATGATGGGGTGGAGAACCCAGGTGTCCCCCTTGCTCCCAGCCCCAGATCATAGATGGTCAAGTCTCTACCTAGTTATTTCGGTAAAAGTTGGGCAGGCAGTAGCGGACTCTCCTGAGATTGGAGTTTCCATACCTCCCTTCCTGTCTCCCACTTCCCCAATTCCTGCAGCTTTCCTCCTTTGGCAGTCAGCTGTGTGCTGGGCCAGGAGTTGAGCTTCTCTTTATTGTGCTGGGCTGAGGCTTCTGCTGTGGTGGGGGCCGGGACTGGCTGGGCAGTGGCACACTCCTTTCATTCTAAGGCAGAGATGGCAGACAAGTTGTGGGCAGCTGTAGGAACAGAACCTGGTGTCCACCCTCTCTCTGCCCTTTTACATCCTACTCCCAGACTTGGAGAGAAAAGACCTGTAGAGGGTTGGGTTGTTCTGGTTTTTTTAGGGGGGTCCAGGGAGGGAAGAGGAAAGGGTTTTGTAAAAGAGAATATACGAGCTAAGAGGAGCCTCTTCGTTCTCAGTAAACTAGCAGAAGACTAAAATGAATTGCCCCTATTGTGATCCTCTGCCTCTGTACATCATTGTCTCCTTTCATCACATCTTACCCTACTCCCCTTTATGGATTGGGGTCCCTGTACCTCAGTCTCTTTCCCACTCCCCCTGCTTCTCTGTGGCCCTAGAAGACTTCGACCCAACAACTTAGGCCCCTTCCCTTTCTCGTTACAGAGCGCAAACATCAGCTCTTCCAGTGGTCCCAGTGGGGACCATAGTGAGCTGGTCACCAGGATTTCCAATCTAGAGGCAGAGAACCAGAGCCTTCGGAGTGGTGAGTGAACATCTCTTACAGCCAGTGGGTAAAGAAAGCCTGCCATTCCCTTCTGGTCCTGCACTGCTAGAGCAACATTGCTTGGGGATGCCCTCACCCAGTAACTCCCTCTTCTTCCGCAGTGATTCAGGACCTACAGCTCACCATCTCCAAGCTTGAAATCCGGCTCTGCACCCTGGAGAAATGCACCCCTTCCCACCGCTCTCTGGCTCCTCAGACTCAGGTGAAGGTTTACCTTTCAGCACTGGAAGCTGGTCTTGATCTGACCTGCCCTAGCCTCTTGTGTTTATAGCACAGATACAGTGCACACACGTTCCCTTCTCCCCAGGTCTTAGAACAGTCTTTTTAGTCTTTTTAACTGTTTTTCCATCCTTAAGTGTCCCAGCATGTACATAGGCATATGGACATTGGATTGGCCATCGTACCACACTCTTCAGCCCTGTTTTACGTAAGCACACATGACACAGGTAGACACAGATAAATATAAAGACACAACACATGTTAAGATAGAAAATATTCTCTTCACACCAGAGTCAAAGCCTAATACAAATAGGTATTTTAAAGGCCGGCATGTAAAACTGCTTCAGTGTCTGAACACATTCTTGTCTCTTTTCTACTGCTCCTCCCCCTTTCCCTCCCCCTTCTCCCCTGGAAGATCACAAGAGCCTTATTATTGCCCCCAGTCTCCTCTTCCTCACCTCCATCCTTTACGCAGCTGCCCAGGTGATCGTGCCCATATCATCCCCTCCCTCAGTCTTTCAAAGCCCCATGAACCTCTAGTTTTATGTCCTTCTTCTTCCTTTCATACTTTTCAGCAGTTGTCTCCATACGTTTATCCAGACCATTCCCCTCTGCCTCAAGTATACTACCCCATTTTCTTTTTTTTTTTTCTTTTTAGGAAGTTGGGGTTAAGTGACTTGCCCAGGGTCACACAGCTAGTAAGTGTCAAGTGTTTGGTCTGAGGTCAGATTTGAACTCGGATCCTCCTGACTTCAGGGCCAGAGCTCTATCTACTGTGCCACCTAGCTGCCCCATACTACCCCATTTTCACCTTCTCCAGTCTTTCTCTTCCTACAAGGCTTGGCTCAAGTGTTTTCTGAAGCTGTCCTTGACATCCTTTCTGTTGTTAGTGTTCTTTAAAGCAACTCTGTCTGCTTTAATATATGTTGCATTGAATTGAATTGTGCAAAGATGGCGGGTGACTGAGAGGGAGAAGTAGGATCAGATACAAGGAGCAGTCACTGACTGGACAAATGGACTTTAGATGGGGGTGAAGAAACTCACTGGATGGATGACCCTTGCAGGTCATTAACATCATCCCAGGAACCTTTAGGTTTGTCCCTCAGGGCCCAGCCACATTTCTGACCTTCTGGTTCCCCTTTCCCTGGTCAGCACGTATCCCCTATGCAGAAGGTGGAGCCACCCGCCACATCACCTGCTAAGAAGGCAGCCACCCCAGCAGAGGACGATGAGGAAGATGACGATATTGACTTGTTTGGTAGCGATGATGAGGAAGAAGACAAGGAAGCAGCCCGGCTTCGCGAGGAACGGCTTCGGCAGTATGCAGAGAAGAAGGCCAAGAAGCCAGGGTTGATTGCGAAGTCTTCCATCCTCCTAGATGTCAAGCCTGTGAGTAGGGACTGGGGTTGGGTGAAGAAAGGGGGTAGAACAGGAGTAATTGCTTGGACCCTGGCACTCTCACATGATGTTCTGTGAACCACCCCCTCTGTTGGAAGGAAAGGGAAGGGAAGGAGCCAAGAGGCAAGTCCCCCCACTAGGAGATCTGATTCTCAGCCCTAGCTCTGCCACAGAATTGCTGTGTGACCCTAGACAAGTCATATCTATTCTTTGAACCTTGGTTTTCGCTGTGAATTCTAGAGCAGTGACAGTCCTCCTCAGCTGATGTGAGGGTAAAATGAGAATGTGGATTCAAAATCTAAAGTATTTGTTCTCATGAGAAGGAAGATGATTACTTTGTGGGGGTGGGGCACTGAGGGGGAAAGGAGCTATGGGGAGTCTTGCTTTTATAATGATGCATGGAAACCCATATTCTTTGGCAAAACAGTGTTTTGTTTCTTTTTTTTTTTTGATATCCTTTTTATCTCTAAAATCAAATTTGGTTTTGGTCATACAATTTGGCACATTTGTGATGATAAGACCCTGAGGGTAGGGGCATGACAATGGTTTGATACTCTAGCCAGGCCTAGAGGGCCCAGTTAACCCTTTCCCTGATTTCTCCCAAGTGGGATGACGAAACAGACATGGCAAAGTTGGAGGAGTGTGTCCGCTCCATCCAGCTGGATGGGCTGGTCTGGGGAGGCTCCAAACTGGTGCCTGTGGGCTATGGCATTCGGAAGCTGCAGATCCAGTGCGTGGTAGAAGATGACAAGGTGGGCACGGACATCCTGGAGGAGGAGATCACCAAGTTCGAAGATTATGTAAGTTCCCAGGGGAAGCCTATGGCTTCTGGGCGTGTCACATGTGTGTCCATGGACAAGGCACTGGACTTGGAGAGCTGTATTTGGAGTCCTGGGATCTAAGTTTGAATCCCAGCTCTGCCGCCTACTCCCTGTATGACACTGGGTCCTTTAACCTCTTTGGCCCTCACTTTCCTGCATGACCTCCAAGGTAGTGTCCAGCTCTAGATCTGTGAGCCTGCATCCAGTAGTCTTATTTAGAACCAGCTTGGGCAGGAAGTGCTTCCTGATGCTGGCCTTGTCTTATGGACCTGCCTTGGGAGTTAGGGGCCCTAGGTTCCTAGAGCCAATTCTCCCACCAACCTTGAGCAGCTCATTTCCCTGAATTTTGCCTCGGTTTCCCAATATAGAATATGAGGTGATTGAATTAAAAGCCAACTAAGGATTGGTCTGTAAGGCCTCTTGCCCTGGATTGGCTTGGTAATGAGTTGGATTTCCCTAGGTAGGAGGGATAAAAGAATGGTGGATGAGAAGGGTGAATGGGAGTACAAGATTGCAAGCAGTTCATTGGTCATCATTCTGATTTGCTCCCTCTGTCCTCCCATTTGCAGGTGCAGAGCGTTGACATTGCTGCTTTCAATAAGATCTAAAAGGCCCCTGAATGTGTGTGAATCTGTAACCAAAATAAAGGCTGAGATTTGAGGTGCTTGGGCCTGTTCTGGACTGTCGTCTATGGAGGGAGGGGTGAGAAGGGCCTTCAAGAGATGTGTCAGTTGGATTTGGGTAGAGGGTGGCCTCTCTTGTGGCTAGTCCTCTGAGCGATTGACCAGACACCAGGATTCTTTACCCCACCAGGGGGCAGCAGTCCTGGACCAGGTCAGAGGCTGTAGGATGTGGAGCTTTGAAAGTGAATAAATGTAGAAAAACGGCCGCATTCACTTAAAATACAGTGACTTTCCTAAAGCCTCAGGAATTGATGGGCAGGAGATATGCTTGGCAGCTAGTGGGGAACTTGGGACCTAGGACTGGCAAAGAGCCTTTCTGGGAGGCTGGGAGAATGAATGGGGTGGGGGGAGGTCAGTGTAACTTGTATTTCAATATAATTGGTTTCCTTTGTGATTTTATATATTTTTTATGCATTTTAAAATAGTATTTTTGAGAAATAGGGAGGGGAGGTCCATAGGCTTCACCAGATTGCCAGAGGGGGTCCATGTCACAAATAAGATCCCTTGGTATAGTGGAATAACAAGAGTCTGAGTTTGAAGGTTCCTTCCCTTTCTTCTCTTCCTCCTGTACACTCATTCCTGATGGAAGGCTGACCAGAGCAGAGGACAGCAGGGTCATCCCTTTTTTTTTTTCTATTTTAATTAAGTTTTTATTGATACCTTTTTTAATTTAGTATTTTATTTTTCCCCAGTTACGTGTAAAAACAATTTTTAACCTTCATTTTTTAAAACTTTTGAGTTCCAAATTCTTTCTCTTCCCTTCCCCCCATGGAGAAGGCAAGCAATTTGATATAGCTTATTCATGTATAGTCATGCAAAACACATTCCTTGTCTTGCTCTCCACATTAGCTTTGTCTTAAGATAGCCTTAGTTCTGGCTGCCTGCCCTAGTTCCCAGGCTGCTTTGGGAAACAGACCTTCCACATATAGGATCAGTGGTTTGTAGATTTAGAGCCGGAAGGGACCTTAGGCATCACTGAGTCCAACCTCTCTCTTTTTTAAAATAAGGTAACCAAGACCTGGAGGGGTGAAGACTTGCTGCCCCAGGATAACCTACTTTCTCTCTCTCTCTCTCTCTCTCTCTCTCTCTCTCTCTCTCTCTCTCTCTCTCTCTCTCTCTCTCTCTCTCTCTCTCTCTCTCTCTCTTCCTCTCTCCCTCCCCCCCTGCCCCCCATCCCTTTCTCCCTCTCCCCACAAGTGATCCTTCTGGCCTCTCTCCTCCCGAAGATTGCCCCTTCCCTCATCCACATTCTATCCCTTATTTTCAGTCTCTCTGCCTGCTGGCTTCTTCCCTCCTGCCTACCATGTCTTTCCATCCCCACTAACTGTTGTCCTGTGTCTTCTGCCCTTTGTGGCTAAATTCCTTGAACAGGTATCTACGATAGGTGCCTCTGCTTCCTCTTTCACTCTCTTCTCTTAAACTTATTAGCAGGTCACGTAACTGCTTTGCCTCAGTTTTCTCAACTGTAAAATGAGGAGAATTATTAATAGCACCTGCCTTCGCAGGCTTTTTGTGAGAATCAAATGAGATGTTTGTGAAATTGTTTAGCACATGCCTGGCCCATAGTAGATCCTCTTTTTCTCTAGGTTTTCCAGACATCACTCTCTCCTGGTTCTTCTCATACTTATCAGGCCACTCCTTGGCTGGATTCTCATCCATTCCCTTTAACCATAGGTGTCCCACAGGGTTCTGTCTTGGGCCCTCATTTCTTCATCTTCTATACTATTTTGCTTGGTGATCTCATCAGCTCCCACGGATTTGATTACCATCTCTCTGCTAATGATTCTCAAATGTATCTTTCCTGCCCCAGTCCCACATCTTCAGCCACCTTTCAGGCATCTCAAACTGGATGTCCAGTAGACATCTTAAACTCAGTATGTCCACAACAGAATTATCTTTCCCTTACCCTCTTCACCCCCAACCCCTGCCCCTCCACCTTCCCTGTTATTGTCAAGGGCATCAGTATCTGTCAGTCCCTCAGTCTCGAAAATAAGAGTCATCCTGGACTCCTTGAAGTCACTCACTACCCCCAAACTCCCATAATCCAATCAGTTGCCAAGGCCTGTCGAATTCACCTTTGCATCATCTCCTGAATATGTCTCCTTCTCTTCTCTGGCACTGCCACCCCCCTGCTGCAGGCCCTCCTCACCCACCTCCCACCTGGACTGTCACAGTAGCCCTACTCTGGAGCCCTGCAATGGCACACAATGACCTGTGAGTTTTCTTCTTCTTTTAGTGGGGTGTAGAGTAGGAAGAACAAGTGTGGAAACAGCTTTTCCCAGGTCTTCAGTGGACTTGGCCTGATCTCCTGGCTCCTCACCATTTCCTGCTTTACTCCACCCTACTCAGACACCCTCTCTCCTGCAGGAGATGATTGGGGGGAGGCGGGGCATGATAAAGAGATGAAGTCCTGAGCTTTGGTCTTTCTGGGGAGCAAAACTGAAGTCAGTCATTTTCCTCTCAGAGGAGACACTGGCTTTGTCTCCGTTGCTCCCTGCTTCACCAAGGAGAACCTGCAGATTTTTCCCTGAGGAGTGAAAAGTACATTGGGACCAGAGGAAACAGAAGAAAACAAAAGACTGGCAGAAGGCGAGTTCCTGAGTGTAGGCCTACTCTATCAGAGTCTGGCCTGCCCTGGCCAGCCATGGATGGCTTCAAGAACCTGGCACCTCAGCTCCAAGCAACAAGGGGCTAGTCTGAGTACCACTAAAATCACAGATTCAAACTCCAGCTTTTCCCTCATGACCTCTGCTTGTCGGGTGCACGATCTTCACGTGTATGGAAGAGAAGGGATGGGGACTGAGAAATTCTTTTAATGATAGCTAGCATTTTACATAGTGCTTTTAAGGTTTACAAAGCATTTTACAGATCTCATTCTGTGTTCATATTAACCATAACTGATTTTGCCGATGACAAAACTGAGGCAGGCAGAGATTAAATTACTTGTACAGATTCACATAGCTTGTGAGTATTGGGGTGGGTCTGAGCTTAGGTCTTCCTGACTCCAGGTCCAGAATTCTATCCACTGTGTACACCTAGGTGCCTCTGGAAACAATGGCAGCCTTAGGATCCACTTCTTTGCCACACCCTGAAGAGGGCAGCAAGGGGAGCTGTTTGTTCTGTATCTGGGAGTTTAGAACATAGCTCTGAGCCTGGGCTGTCCTGTCCTAAGCTCCCTTCTCTCCCAGGCTTTGAGGAAAGGGCTCACCAGTCATTTGAAGAGTTCAACTTCCAGCAGTTCCCTATTACCTCAGCCTGTCCCTGGGTGTGTATTTAGGGATGGAGGTAGTGTCTGTTCCTTCCTGCTATGTCAAGTCCAGCCCCCATTGACGGGAAGGGTCCCATTGCAGGGCAGTTCCCCTACTAGCCCTTTCCACCTTTCCATTTCTTTTGGTATGAGGGAGGCATAGAGCTAGGAAAGGGCACTTTTAATGGCATCTGAGCATATAATCCAGCATCTGGTAGCCAGTCGGTGACAACCAGATTTGAACCCATTCTGACACCAGAGCTAATCCTTTTTTCTACAGCCCTTCGAATTACCACAACCTTAAATGCCTGCTATATACAAAGTCAGAAATGAAATCCCTTTCTTCTAGGGGCTGGAATTCTGGGGTCCCTTCCAGCTGTGAACACACCGTGATTCTTAAGTCAGGAGACCTGTGGTCTAATTCCCCCTTCATTGCCATCCATTTATTGTCTCTATGACCTGAGGCAAGACTCTCTTTCTGGGCATCTGTGTTTGCAACTGTAAAAGGAGAGGGTTAGTTTTGATCCTCTAACGTGGATCCCTCTCACCCCTAAAGCAGATCACAGGCTGTTGCATGGACTATTTGAGTTGGGTTCTGGGTTTTTTTTGTTTTGTATCCTTAAGAGCCTTGAATATGGTAGTAGACATTTAATAAATGTTGGTTGAATTTAACTGCAAGGTTATTAATGTTAATACATGAATAGTTATTCATTGTATGACAATAGAGGATCGGCTTTGGGATTGGGAAGAACGAGTAGGTTCGAGACCTGCCCCAGGCAACCGATCGTGAACAACTCGTGTCACCTCTGGGCCCCTCCAGGCAACTTCTAAAACTCTGTCTGAGAGGAGTTGTTTATCTTCATTGTTGAGAGAATTTATGCACCCGGAGTTCCTTACACAAATAGAATCAGGGCAGGAACAAAACCAAAAACGTGTATGACCTCCCTCTTCTCCATAGCACTCTAGGAGCTGTTGGGGGAGGCACTGAGCCCCCATATGGGCATTTTTCTTCTTGAAGGGTTGGGGAGATTATTTTGAGAAAAACGAGTCCAAGACTCATTAACATCCAGGAGTCTTGTAATCTCCAGGACCTTACCCTATTGGAGAAGAAACCAACTTGAATACTTCCCAGAACTATGAGCCCTCTAGAGCCAGGAGGAGAGGGATTTTCCAGGTGATTTTGAACCTTGGAGATCATGTTATGTAACCGTCTCAGTTTACAGGGAAGGAAGCAAGAGGCCAACAGCTGGACCAGCTTACTACCTCACACCTTCAGGTGACCAAAGAGTTGGGGGGGGGGGGTCTGTTTCCAGCACACTAGAGAAGCAAAGCCCTGGTATTAAGAGTTGGTGGTAGCTGAAAGGAAGAGGGGGCCAGTGCCTGGGGGCAGCAGAAAAGGATGATTTGGGGGCTGTTCGAGCTATTTATCCTATGTCTGGAAGGTTCTTCCCAATTAATACAACACACATTTTCTAGTGCCTACTGTGTAGGAAGCACTAGGGATAAAATTAGGTCCCAGCTCTTGAGGAGCTAACAAATTCATAGGGGGAGGAGGAATACTACTTGTAAACAGGTTAAGCCTCCACGTGATTTGAACAGTGAGAAAGACCTAACAACTGTGGGAGTCGAGAAAGGTTTCCAGATGTGGCACATGAGTGTAGCCTTAAAAGGAACTAGGAATTCTGAGAGCCAGAGATGACGAAGATGGGCATTGCGGCCATGAGGGGAAGGGAG